AAATTGACCTCGCAAAATGGCAAGACACCAGTAAGTGAAAACCAGTCTCCCCATCCGCTTTACAAAGAACACACCACTGAGGTGACAAACAAGTATTGGGTCTCTTCTTTTGGAGTAGATCACCAGTGTTGATTCTTTCTAGATAGATTTTCCCACAGAACTGCCATCAAAGTTCAATTTCACAGAAAAATGTGAGGGTGGGGTCCACTCCTCATTAACAATAGTAGGACTGTAGGAGGGATGGAAGAGCCTGCCACTATGTTCCAACCTCTAAGCAAGTCATCTGCAGAAAAATCCTTGAAGAGGTCCATAGTTTTCAGCCAATGTATCACCTTGATGGTGATGCCTTCTATAACTTGAAGTAGTGATTTTTCTTGGCCTTGGAAAATCCTGTTATTTCTCTCTTCCCATGTAGAGAGACTAGGCCAAATGGGCCCTAGCCCATTATTGTCTTATTGATTAGTTCTTTCTTGTTATTTGTTCTTAATGGGCCTTTTCTTTATGGGTCTTTAATTCTTGTTTATGTTTTCTAAGTATGCTGATGAAGTGGATGCCCACTTAAGGGCAAACTTGTAAATTATGTAACTTAAGTAAGATTAGTAAAAGATTAGAGTGGAGAAAGAGGAGATTATTGAACTCCTTTCTCCCTTCTTCTGGTTGTCTTCTTCTTCTCTACTTCTTTTGCTATAATCTGAATTATTTTACTATTTTTTATCGGTCTGAATCGCATCTTGGTATCAGAGCAGGTCCCCCTTCTCTTTTATCCTTTTTTCTTTTCTTTTCCCATACACTTTTCTAATCGAAAGGTGTATGGAGAGATAAATTGTTGATCATTTAGAGAACTTTCATGCCTAGTTGGTAGAGGGTTTGGAGAGTTAGAATCTGGCTATAGATTGCCAAGAAGGTGGGGCTGCTGAATTTTTACCCAAAACCCTAGCGGACTAGAGAGTTTCCAGATACGGGTTAAAGAGATCGTTTATGTGTGGCGCTCAAGGCTTGGAACGTTCCTTTTTACCTCCAAAAGTGGGTGGTTGCAGTTGGAAGTGGTTTGGAAAGCTCTATTTTGAGTGGCTAGGTATAGTGAAACCCTAGTTTTGGGATTTTTAAGTACTGGACTGACCTTAGGTCTACAAAGGTTGAAAACATTGTTTTTTTTATTTTCGTTTGATTGATGGAGGAATCTAAAAGTGAGATCAATCAGATCCTGGTGTGTTGGTCCAATAGATTCCATTCTGACAGGGATGACTACAATCAAACTTAATGGAACAAATTACTTAGCTTGGGCACAATCTATAAAGATTCATGTCTATAGTAGAGGTAAACTAGGGGTTCTCACAGGCAATAAGGTGAAACCAAAAGAGACTAATCCGGCATATGAGAAATGGATGCAGGATAATTACATAGCTATTTGATGGTTGGTAAATTCTATGCAGCCCCACATAAGTCAACACTATCTTTGGATGACTTCAGCCAAGGAGATTTGGGATAGTGTTACAGAAACATATTCTCAGAAATCGAATGTTGCAAGGTCCTACAAACTGAAGAATGATTTGAAAATTTTGAAACAGGGGGAGAAGAGTGTAACTGTCTACTACTCGATGTTGAAGTCACTATGGCAGGAGATTGATGTTATTGGAAGCAGTTGTATGGGAAAGCACCAAAGATGTAGAGACTTTCAGGAAATTTGTGGAAAGGAATAGGGTGGTTGAATTTCTTACAAGACTTAACCCTGAATTTGATATTACGAGACAGAATATTCTGGCCAAGGATGAAGTAACATTTGCTTGGGCATATTCTACAGTGAGTAGTGAAGAGAGCAAGCAACAAGTACGGCTACAAGGTCACCTATTGCAAACAACATGGACATATCATTCCAAACTGTCCAATTTGTCTACCCAAGGGTCCCGTGAAGAAGAATCAGCCACGAGCTTATCAAGTGTCTAAGGGACAGATGTCCGATGCCTCTACTGCCAAGGGAGAATTTTCTTCTTCCATGAATAAGAAAGAGATACAACAACTGGTATCCTTTGCTATCTCATCTACCTTATGTGTTATTGGTCTATCTGGTAAGTTCTCTGGTTACTGTTCTTCTCCCACTCAAGTTCGGATAATTGATTCTAGTGCTACAAATCATATGACTAGAGCCTACATTAAACCATCGAATAGACTTCCTAAGGCCAACCTAAACATATTGTCACTACTAACGGTGAGAAACTTGACATCATTGGGAGTGATGATTTGTGTCTCAAATTCTTACCCTCAAACTCCTTATCCCTTGCCAAGACCTTCCTTGTTCCTAAACTTACTGCTAACCTTATTTCAATTGGTCAACTGGTTGATGAAGGTAACATTCTAACTTTATCCTCTGACCGCTTGTTTAATCTAGGACCAGTACAATGGGAAGGTGAAAGGGAAGGGTGTAGGTTGGGCCGCTTTTTTGCATTGGAGTTTGAGAAATCACAATCAGCACTATCCTCTACTTATTTGAGCTATTTGACATTGAGTCATGTTTTAGGTCAGAGAAACTATGTTTGGGATTTGTGGCATAAATGTTTGGGTCACCCAAACTCTAAAAAACTTTTTGTTTGAGTCTAGTTTTATTAAAACTAAAGTTCCTTCTATGAAAACTTTTGATACATCTTGTGTTTCTTGTTGTTTGAGTAAGAGTCGTATTTTGCCATTCACTTACAAAGCTGAACATAGTGATGTTTGGACTTCATCTATTGTTTCTCGATTGGGGTACAAGTATTTTGTATTGTTCATTAATGATTGTATCAGGTGCACTTGGATCTACTTTCTCAAACACCCTATTTTGTAATGTTATTCATTAATCCTAATAAAATATCTTTCTTAAAAAGCAATTAAAACTATAAAATCATTATTTTGTGTGTGAAAACTAAGAATTTAAGACCCTAACATGGACTTGTTTGGGCTTGCCTCGAGGGGCGTGGCACAAAAGCAGCTTGTAGAATCAGGAATGTAATATATCACATTAGCTACTTGAAGTAATGTAATTGAGAAAAAAAGATATTGTGGGTTTATATGCTTGAAAATGTTTTATATTTTGATTTTAGATAATAGGTTTTTTAAAACATTTATTTTAAATTTAAGTTCATATTTTTATTAATATTATGTTTAATAATTTTTTGATTTTTTTAAATTTTTGTCGTTTTTTTAATTTTTAGCATTTTTTTGATTTTTGTGCCTTGCTTAAAAAGGCATGCGCCTCACTTTGCGCCTTGCGCCTCGGGTACAAATTGACCCCTGCGCCTTTTTTGCACCTTGCGCTTTTAAAAGACTGCTATAAATAGAATCTATTGTCATCTTCTAAATCTAGGGCATCTGTTGTTTGTTCCATCTCTCATATGTTTTAGTAATGTTGAGATGCTAAAATTTCTCTAGAAATTGATTTGTTGTATCCTCTGTCATCATAGAGGGTTGAACTACTCGTTCAGGCAGATACCAAGATCAGCTACTGCCTTGCAGACAGTCTGGCTAGAGAGGGAGTCCAAAGACAGTCACTGTAATGGAATCCTCATGCTGGTAGGGATATATGGTACTTTTGCATTACCTTATGAGACAGAAGGTTCAGGTTATCAGCCCATGAACTAAGGTTCCCTTTCCCTCCTTGAGGAAGGGGTTGTACTCATCTTTCCTTTTGCAGTTTACTATTTCACTATTTCACTATTCATCTTCTCCAATTTGTTGGTGGTTGGTATACCAAATTTACATTTCTGCAGCTCAGGAGTCAATCAAATAATAATACATATAAAATTCCATGGTCCATAGATTTCCTAATATTTCCACAACATATTTCCATTTGCAAGGGAACTGACACAAAATTTACTTGAATCAACTCTGTTACTGATCAAAAAAAAATTTACTTGAATCAACATATTCCCCAATGAACACTATTGACACTATGATGTGTTCAAGAGAGTATTCTAACACAAATGGTGAACACTATTTACCACAATTCATTCTATCTTGTAGCTTTGACTCTTCAGGTTATAGGAAAAGTTCACAATGTATTATTTTGTCTATAATTAAATTTCTTAGCTTTGTTTAATGATTTGAAACAAGACAACAATTTAGAAGGGTGTGCCTACCCTTCTTTTTATCATTTTATATAATATAATTCCATATTTTTGCATACTTCATAATGTTTCCACCATGTCCATAATTTTTACATCTCCATGTGATATTTCTAACATTTTCAACATGTTTCCCATATTAGGACGGCTGACATTTCCACCAACACTGACATTTTAAACCTTGTATAATTCATGTACAAGGATTGTACTCATCCATATTGAACATTCATCACCTTCATCCATTTTATTGAATAATAGAACAAATTTTATTAATATAAGAAATATATAATACAATAAATCAGTCATCCCAGAGATTGAGATGTGACAGAACAAATTTTATCACCTTTATTCATTCATTCAGATAAATGTTGCAACACAAATATAGTTAAGAGACGTGATGTAACAAAAGAAAATTAGTCATAAGCAAATTCCGGGTAGAGCAAAAACCACAGAACCAATTGAAAATATGAAGTGAAAACTACACATACTTTATGAACTCATCATTCAAAGTTGCCAAAGTTCATCTCACATACCTCCCCAATGTCAGAGCCTATTGATATGCCATCAGAAATAACTTTTGAAAGAACAGTTGCATCTCCAAAACCCAAATTAACTCCTTGACCAGCTAAAGGATGAACAGTGTGTGCTGCATCACCAATAAGAACTACACGGTTTGATGCATAATCATTGCTGTGCAGTAATGACAAAGGAAACACCATTCTCTCTGAGGCAATCTTGACTACTTTAGGTGGAACTTCAAAGCATTCTTTAGATGAAGATGTCATATCAGCAATAAGCCAAGACAATCTATCCCCATAGTTACTAACAGAGCTTGACTGAGGATGAGGGCCATATCCATAATCTAGTGCATGATTTACAGCTTTCACAAAATCATCCTCATTCATTGTTTTCCGTTCTGAAGATTCTTTTGGGCTCATTGTCCAAACAATATTACTAAATCTGTCACCTATTGGTAAAAGTGCAATCGGACCAGTAGGCAAAAACCGCTGCCATGCACACTGGTTTTCAACATTATGTTCAACAGTACAAATAATTGCATTCTGAGAATAATTCCATCCGGTTGTTTTGAGTCCAGCTAACTCCCTAACATAAGACTTGGCCCCATCAGCTCCAACCTGTAAAAAAGATCCCAACCCACACATTATGAAATGAAAAACAAGTATCCTATAGCATGTAGCTGCATCAATTACCATAATACCAATCCATCTGGCTGAAAGTTGAAATATGAAACCTATATACCCTTATATTCCAGGACAATGGATATCTTCACTTATTTCCTTCTTAACTTAAAATTAATTTTAGCTTCAAGTATAAGAAAATCATGATTACCACCAACTTTGCAAAAAGACTATCTCCATTGCTCAAATCCAATTTAACAAAAGATCCATGATCACAGAGTTTTGCTCCAGGTAACTTGCTTTCCACCTCTTTGCTGTGTGATTGCAAAGCCATTGATGTCAACCTGGAAGGATAGATTGTCTTATGGAAATCTGACTTCTGCAAAAATCCAAATATATTAAGTTTCATAAAGGTGATAAGAATTGCAAGAAAATGGTTTATATTGTGTTGCCTGGAATAGTTACAAGAAAATGATTACATGAAAAATGTTGCATCAAAAGTGAAATATTGTAAATTTATTATAGGCAATTAGTTGATGTCTTGATAATAAACAAGGCAAACAGAGAGAGAATATATAACCATTAATAGTAGTGCACCTAAGTCTACAAAATTATCATGGTTCTTACAATCCTCCAGAGCACAAATACTTTACTAGAGGTTACAGACAGAATTTCAGTCAGTAATGACATCAATGTAGAACAAATCACACTGTAATTTGGAAATCAAGAAATTCAGAACTAAAGGTAATAATAACTCAATCAACACTATTGCCTAAAACTCGGTCCAACTTTATCTATAAAATGTCACAGTTAGTGTTTTACCAACCAAGGAACAGAAAAGAAACCTCCACAGATGAGAAAATAATTGCAGTTATGCAACAGAGGTCACTGATTACTTTAATATCATCCTACCAAAGGAAATTAACATATGGATCTGTATCATACAGAAATAAATAAGCTAGACATAAAAGCAAAGCATAAGAAGTGGATGTTCTAGTACAGCTTGAGGCTAGCCAATAATGTAGGTAACAAGAACATTGTTTTCAAGAGATACGAAATTCCAAAAATAACAGAAACGGGAAGAGAAAAGTATTTAGATTTTCAAAATTTTAACCATAAGATGCAAGTACTTTATGCACACAAGTAGACTCCATTAATGAAATATGGACTTCCAAGAGATGGTTCGGCCTGCTAATTTTGCAAACTGTACTGTCTAGACCAGAAGTAGCCCCTCTTTTGTGTCTAAATGTGCAATCTTACAGTGCCAACAAATCAAGCCAGTTGCATTGCTAATTATAGTGTAAATAGACCTTCTATGTAATAGTAGCAATCATCCATTATTATCATCTGTTTCCTTTTGCTAGGACATGCTATCAAATTTTAATCATCGAAGATGGTTTTCCCTTTCCTTTTCAGTTAAGGCAGTTTTTTGTGGGGGGTTCTTATAACCATGTTTCTGTCCTTCTGGATAACTTCTAGTCTTCTACAAAGCATTAAAAGCTGCCAACAGCTACATTTATGAATGAGGCTCTAGAATTCTAGGCCACAAACCACAGTTATACCTCTTGAAGCTTCACAATGACATATTAATTAATTTAACTGATCAAAAACTTAGTTTTCAAAGCATTGGAAGTCCACTAAGCAATTTTTAAAATTTTTAGCTTGTTTGGACAACTATATAGCAGAAAATAAAATGTGACATATTAATTAATCACTTTCCTAATTCCTACCAAAAATAAATGGAGAAAAAAAAAAACTTAGAAAGGGATAAGTACCTGCAAACATGACAGTAAAGAAGCATGAAGAACCTTATTCTCTACCACGCACCTGAATCAAAAACCCAAACCAAGTGGTGTCTGACTGGTAGTTTCATGATAACAACAAAATTTGCATTCCTGTGAGTGCATGGTGCTTACCCTAGTATTTCTTTGCCAACATCTCTTGCATTGTACCTTGTATAGCCTAAGCCAGTGTAGTCCCAAACCTACAACTGACTTGTTAGAGATGACCAAATAGGTAGTACAATATCAAAATCAAGTACTAAATATGCATATGTTTTTTACAAGAATTATGAAGTACTAAATGGATGCCCTTAACTTCTTGAATTCTAATACAAATAGCCATCAAAGTCTGTCCCTTCCCCTTCACCCTCCAGTGTGTTGACCCTAAGGCTGCATTTTGGGTGGAGGGGGCTTCTAATAAGTGCTCCTATGGCTTATTGCGTTTTAGAAGCCAAAAGCACCTGCAAATATGGGGCTTTTTCACCCACAAAAAGCCACAAACTCACATTTAAAAGAAAAACAAAAGAAAAATGTCTTCTAGCTTCTGCATTTTGGAGAAGCACATTTATCAAGAATTTTCTTCCCCAAAATGCCCATTTAAACATTTCAATATGACCATACTGCCCCCATATGGAAGAAAATCCTACCGTTCTCTTCTTTTCCCATCTCTCCAAGGTAAACACTTCAACAGCAGTGGGCTCTTCAACATTGAACCCAAAGGGCAAGAACCATCATTCCAGGTATGTTTTCCTTTTTTTCCCCATGTTTTCTCAACTAGCATAGTGCCCAACTTGTTGATTTGGAACTAAGTTATCGTGATTCTTCATTGCAGGCTTCTCATCTCCATCACCAAGATCAATCCACCTGTTTGCCAATATTAGTGATATTTTTTTTCTACTATAATATTAGGATGGTGAAATCAGTGTTTTAAAAGCGCAAGGCACAAAAAAAGTGCAAGGGCCAATTTGCGCCTGAGGCACAAGGCGCAAGGCCGTTCGCCTTTTTAAAAAGGCGCAAAATTACAAAAAAAAAGCTAAAAAGAAATTAGTATATAAACACACAAAATGATTATTTTAGTTTAATAATGTCTATTTTATAATTATAATCTCAAAAAAGAATGATTAAAAAAGTATTTTATAGTAGGAAGTAGAAAACTGCTAGGCGATTAGGCGAGGCGAGCCTCAAAGGGCGCCTTGTCACCTAGGGCATCCGCCTAGGCGTCGCCTTGACAACTATGCTCCACTGCCTATGAATCTTCACCATCCCAGTCTTTCTTTCATCAACAGGAGCTAAGTTTTCCAACCCTGACTGCACTCTTACACGATCAGCCTTCATCTGCAAAAGAACTTAATCTTCAACTTGTAGTGAAACTTCCAAATTTTCCTTATTGCGGCTTGCTTTAACTAGTGCCTTCAGCCTTTTATGCATTCTCTTACATTTATTGCACAAACCAGCCCTAAAGAACCCATCTTTCAACCAAGAAAATACTTAGTCACATGGACCAGCTGGCCAGAGCTCGAACCCCTTGTTATTTTCAAGTTCAAGGAGAAACCACTGATGTCTCTATTCTTTTCCTGATTGGTGTAAGTATTAAACTAGTGATATATCCAAAGTAAAGTTGAATATGTAAACAGATAGTGAAATAGACAATTTCTAGGGGGGGAAGATTATAATACCAGTTTCTTCCACAAGGTTGTGAATGCTTTGAAGAAAGATAACATAATCAAAAGAATTCCAGTTATTGAGGAGAAATGAATCAATGAGGCCTGATCTCTACAAGGAGGGGCCATTGCTTGGTGTAATGGTTAATGGTTAAATCTTGGGCTGGCAAGCGTGAGACTGTGGGTTCAGGTACTCAGACTAGCCCTTAGCCCTCAGGTCTTTCCCCAAGCAATTTACAAAGTGACCCAGCGATCTCTGTACACCCCTTGTTTTGCAAGATGGTCTGCCATGTTGTTTGACGACCTATAAACTGTATCTTCAAATGCATGTCTCTTGTGAACAAATCGAACATTTTAATTTCATTTCTCAGTTCCCATGAAAGTTTTTCTGTTTTCAGCAACCAATTTATCAGTCTTAGAATTCCCTTCAATGACAAGCTTTTCCACCCCCAACTCCATAGCCATTTGCACCCCACTCATTACTGCCATCAGCACCATCAACTTTGACCTTATGGAGTCTCAATCCCCTACCAGTCCTGAAAGCATTGCACAAATCTTTCCTTTCTCACTCCTAAAAGCTCCTCCAATTCAAAAAACGAAAAAAAGGGCCAAAGGTTTCTCATTGTACAGGGGTTCTTTGTTGCCTTTTTGTTTTAATGAAATACTTTACATTACGGTCAAAAAAAAGACCCCAGATAGCTGGGACCAACATTGGTAATGGCCTTTTCTCTCTACAAGGAGAAATGGGAGAAATTGCCAAAGCTGGATGAACTATCATTTAATAGTCTTTCAGATTGGGCAGAGCTGTAAAGTAGTTTACAAAGGAGGAAACTTTTGAAGCAACAAAGGGAATGGAAAGGGAGAAGGAACCAAGCCTGGACAGTTTCATGATAACATTTTAAAAGGTTTGTTTGAGACCATCAAAGATGATCTACTAAAGGTATTTGAATTTCATTTAAGAGGTAGATTAAAGACAAGCCTAAATTCTACCTATTTTAACCCTGGCTCCTAACAAAGGAGGAGCTTCTGGTCTCAAGGATCTTCTGCCTATAAGCTTAATAGGCAGTGTATAAAAAATCATTTTGCAAAGTGCTAAGAGAGCATTTGTGGAAGGTAAACAGATCCTTGACAAGGTGTTAATTGCAAATCAATAGATTCAAGAAGTAGGAATGGAGGAGCAAGAGTGCTTTGCAAAATAGATATGGAGAAAGCTTATGAGTTATGACCACATAAACTGGAAAGTTTTGGATTACATCCTCAAGAGAATGAATTTTGACTTAAAATGAACGCAAGGTGGTCCATTGTCACCTTTATCATATTTATCTCATAGCATGCAGCCTGAAAATTAGATTAATGGTTTCAATAATATAAAATGGACCCTCAAATAATTATGCCAAGCATAAATATGTAGCAGAAAACAAAGACAACTGGAAAAATCAAATTGAAAATAAGAATAAGCACCTGCATCTTATCAAAAAATGCATGGCGATTTTGTTGAACATAATCCCAAGCACCAACATCTGCAATGCAAAACAATAGTGTTATTGAAGGACAAAAATGAATGTGAGAGGAACATTTACCATCTGTTTATGAAGCTTTTATTGAAAGATATGCACATCTATAGTGCACAAAGAGAGGTAATCCCACTAAAGCTCTTGAAAAAAGAAAAATCATTCTACCACGTGCAAGATTGGCATAACTTTCTGAATGTTATCTATGACAGTAAAACAGTACTTCTTTGTCTAATTGAATCCAAGGTATGTTTTTCTTTATGTGGCCTGATTACTTGGATAAGACATTATTGACCACTGACCATCTTATCTCCCATGGAAGGGATATTCAAAATTTTGTTCCCTTTGTGACTCCCATGAAGATTAATTGCTCATCAACTCATGCACTGCTCATTTCTTGTGATAATATTTGGTAGCATTTTATTAAGTTGTGTGGTAGGCAATAGATCATACCAAGCAACCTTACTTCTCTTATTTATACGTGGCCCAGAAGGGCATTTAGCTTGTACAAAATCATTGCAAAGGTGCTGTCTCTCAGGATAAAGAAGGTGCTCCCCTCTATTATTGCACCCAACCAAAGTGCTTTTGTGGAGGGAAGACAGATCACCGATCAGATCCTCATTGCAAATGAGAGCTTGGAGAGCTTTAGAAAGTCAAAGAAGAAGGGAGTGGTTTGCAAATTGGATTTGGAGAAGGCTTTCGACTTGGTTGATTGGTCTTTCTTCATGGAGGTGTTGAGGAGTTTTAGTTTTGGTGACAGGTGGTGCAAGTGGATCTGGGGCTGTGTTAGGACTTGCCATTATTCTATCCTGGTGAACGGGACTGTGGTTGACTTCTTTCCGGCGTTGAGAGGTCTAAGACAAGGAGATCCTCTTTCCCCTTTTCTTTTCACCCTCATTGTTGATGTGTTTGGGCGAATGATCCAATAGAGCAGACTCGAGGAATCTGATA